GTACACTATATTATTACTATTAACTACTACCTCGTTATTACTATAGTCGTTCTTTACGTTTAGTTAACTAAACTTAGTACAGAATAATTCTCTCTCTCTCTCTCTCTCTCTCTCTCTCTCTCTCTCTCTCTCTCTACAAAGCCTAATGCTAATTCCCAAGCTGGTTCTTGTGGCCATCTTGTTCTGGTGAAAGATGGCTGGACAAAGCAGCCATTCCTGATGAGCAAGACAGGGCAGTGTCAAAGAAGAACAAGTGGAGACTATGCAGTGTTCGTCAAGTTGAGGATGCCAAGCTCTTGCTAAGACTGGTTCCTATATGGGCCAGCTGCTTGCTCTACACAATCGTCTACGCCCAATCACCCACCTTCTTTACCAAGCAAGGCATCACTATGGACCGAAAGCTGGGCTCCACCTTCATGGTCCCACCCGCCGCTCTCCAAACCTTCATCAACGTGGTTGCCCTTATTGTGGTCCCCTTATATGACCGCCTTATTATCCCCATGGCGAGAAAAGTCAAAGGGGATGAATGCGGAATAACTACTTTGCAGAGGATAGGAACTGGCATCTTTGTTTCAGCAATTGCAATGGTGGTGGCTGCCTTAGTGGAATTGAAGAGGCTTCGAGTTGCTGCTGATTATGGGCTTCTTGATCTCCCTAATACAACAATTCCAATGAGTATTGTTTGGTTGATCCCTCAATATGTGCTTTTCGGGGTAGCTGATGTGTTTACAGTGGTGGGATTGCAGGAGTTTTTCTATAACCAGATGCCTAACGATCTTCGTAGTGTTGGAGCTGCCATTTATTTATGTGTTTTTGGGTTGGGGAGCTTATTGAGCAGTCTATTGATCTCAGTTATAGATGGGCTGAGCAGTCTAGGGGGTGGAGAGAGCTGGTTCTCTGATAATATTAACAGGGCGCATCTTGATTACTTCTACTCGCTCTTGGCCTTGCTCTGCACCCTTAGTCTCATCGTGTATGTGTACTTTGCTCGTATTTATGTCTATAAGCCGCATTAGATCCTATATATGTACTGTTAGAGAAGGTTTGCATTATTCTCTATTCAATGTGGTTTCCAATGTGGGATATGTGGTAATCCAATGGGTTACATGTGGGACAAAGTCGTGTCTTGTGCAGAGGAGTTGAAGTTATTGTTAGAAGTTAATAAAGCATTAACTTCAGTGTTTACATGATGATTCCAACAGCTGAACTCTCTGGTGAAGTATTGGTGTAGAGTGGAGGCAAGAAGTCAATTCTTTCAGCCCCTCATTTGTTGTGTCACCCTTGCTCTCTCAACACCTCCGGGGCTGGAGTTTCCTTAATGTTGCTTTATTTGTGATCTGCTATTGTTGTTTGTTTTGTTAAGGTGTATATATTTACAAATTGTGTGAAGAAAAAAATTGTATTTGTGTGTACAACTCTAGCGCTGTCAACTGTAGTTCAATATAAATTCTCTAGAATTTGCTAGAGCTTTCTGAACTAGTCTATGTGGACCTTTTTGCTAGTTCTATTAGAAGAAAATGAGTTTGTTTTGCTGGTTTGCGTCAACAAGTGTCAACTACTTGTGCATTTTACCTTTCCTAGGATTCTTACTTTTAAGTAGTGCTTGTTTGCAGTTATGGTAAGATGGTGCAAAGGTTTAACGAATGTCATCAAATCCATGAGAGATGAACAATTTAACACTTTACCCATGTCCGTTATTTATTTCAAAATATACATGGGCTTGAGTTGGAACAGTTACAAATGAGTGAAATGTTAAATAGTTCATCTGTTATAGGTATTTTATTAAATTTCCCAAGAATTGATGTCAACGCACAGAGATCATACAGTTGTCATAACAAGCTTTTATATGATGGGGCAAACTCAAGTCCAAGCTTTTATTCAAGTAGGGTATGATTATATTTTTCTTATGGGAAGAAGAGAATTGGGATTGTTGCATGTGATGTAATCATTATATGTCCAATGACAATGAGTGGAGGCGAGTGAGACAACTTTTTGTTTCTCTCTTAGTAGGGTCAATTTACAGGCACACTATATTTAGATGGCTGATGTTCTATGAGTGGTTAACCTGTCAATGCCTCAACTCTTGTGCAAGCCTAAAGTTCCCAGTAGACCCGCAAAACCCGAGAGTTCCTTTGAGGACTGAATACTCCTGTGATTGACGCCAGTCATCAAGCACATCAGTCCTCCAAAGTCGCCTGCAGTATCTCGAAATACCTGATATATGTATGAGATACCTAATTATTTTTCACAACCCATGGAATGCATTGATGTTTTTTATAATTGGAAATGATCAGCTATATTTGGCAGTTCGTGGGTCCCACACAGGAACTAGCCTAGGAGCCTGGTGATTCTTAGTGAAAAAGCCTCAAAATTTCCAGAGTCTTTCTTTTTTAAAACTTGTTTTGTTAAAAGTTCTCCAGTCCAACTCGGTAATTCTGAGTCGAACTCGGTGACTCAGCATTGGGACCCTAGAGAGTCTGTGCCTGGGTCCGCCTTTTTAATCACTTGATAGTCCTTAGCTCTATTTTAAGTTTCCAGACTGGTACATTCGCAACCATCCTGCTAATAGTTTTTATTGGAACTCTCGATCTGTACAAGCAAAAGATATAGATTGCATAGAGCAGATCCAAACTCAAAATGTTTGGTTTTCGACTTCCATCTCTATTTTAAGTATTGATCATAACTTAATTCTGCCCTTGACAGATAACTTTTAATTCCCAAATTCTAGTGACTAACAACCATTGGACCCACTTTTGAACCCCCTTTAACCTACACATTAGATTTGAGCTGAGGAACCCCCCATAAAGGCTCAGCAAAACCTTCCTAGATTCATTTGAAACCCATTAAAACTGGTCCACCATTATTTCTCCTAGAGGTCTAGACTTCTGATCCTAACTCCCATAGTATCCCCTAATTAACAGAGGACTTTTGGCAGCAAGAGAGGCGGTCGTTTTTTGTCCCTTTTTAACTTTTTAAGAGACGCAAAGTCACCAAGCAGACTGACACAGTAAATAAACACAAAGAAATGAAGTTAATCCTAGTTAACTGATGTTTCCCCTTCAATTTGTATATAATTTTGAGGACTTATGTCTATAGGAAACTTTAATTTCTCTAATTTCTATTGATTTACATTGCTTTTGAGGTTCTTTGATTTACATTTCTTTCTTAGGTTCTTTGTGTCTTTTTGTTTTATTTCAATGAATGTGAGTGTAAAATCAATAAATTAGCGAAACAAGTGACTCTGAACAAGCAGTGGCATTTTGATAATTTTAACCCATTTACGTGGCTTAAGCAAACTAACGTCAATACCACGTCAATCAAGGTTCCGAATTTGGAATATATTTGCATATTGAAATTTGTTGTTTAGGGTTCCTAAACCACATAAAGAGGGGTTTTTACGTCATGTAGCTCAGGCCAAGGCTGCATAAGCCAAATGACTAATTTGCCCTCTTTTAGTCAAGCTTAGTAATGGGGAACTCATCTTTTTCATTGGATATGTTCTGAGTTCCTACCACTGAACAATAAAGCGTAATTTATTTATAAGCTTACAAATGTGGAACTCACCTTTTTCATTGCATATTTCTAAGTTCCTAACACTGAAAAGTGAGGGGTAACTTATTTATGGAACTCACTTTTTTCAGTATTGAAACCACATTTCTCGACACTATTTGAAGGTAAGCTCTAATTTGACAGTTTAGAGCCTAAGCTCTATACAAACTGCACCCTTTATTTATTATACTTGAAATGGGTGGCTCAAGCAAATTGACACTTATCCATCCCCCCACTTATTCAAGGTTAGAAAACCAGAAACTCACTTTTTTCATTAGAGATGCTCACGCTGGATTCCTAATTATGGACAAGTAGATAGAATATCATGACATTGTTTGAATTAAGTAGCCCAAGCAATATGATGACTTTGCTTGTTCAAAGTTTAGGAACATGGAACTTTCCTTTTTCATTGGAATCTTTGTTCCGACTTCCCAAGTCTAATAAGTAGGGGTATTCACATTTGGCTCGGGCCACTTAAGTGGGAAAAATTACCAAGATGCTCTTTCTTATTCGGGGTTACAAAACCTAAATAGCGGGCAATTTGGATTTTCTTGTTATTCTATGCGAGTAAGATTTGGATTTTTTTTAATTGATGTTACTCTGTGGGTTGAAGAGCTTATATCCGAAAAATTTAAGGTCCTAAAAGTGCTCATAGATTAGGTTTTACCCAAGGGACAAAATGCGCAACTTACTCCCTCTTATTAATTTTCTAAATTGTGCAAGTCCACAAAATCTTTCTAAATTGAAAACCAATCTTGGAATGATTCTTTTTATTTTCAATTATATATTTTAATCACAAATTTAATTTTTATTCAGACAGTTAAGAGCTAATACACTGATCGCTTTGATCCACCTGAATTATCTTTACCATTAATATTATTCAATAAGAATAGAGCGATTGAGAATCAAATCATGAATACCAATACCATACAATCCAAAGGAAAGGCTCATATAGAAACGTCCCTAGATATTGTTCCGATACAATCTCCTAACAGAAGCATGACTCCATATTCACCCAGTATCCCAAATAGTCCATTAAACTATCCACAACATTCTAGTCAAGCACCATTATCTCCTCAAACTCCATTATTCATACAATCTCCAACTATTAGAAAGCCTACAATCTCAGACAAATCCCCATATGAAAATATTGCCTTCATTGTTGATGCTATTATTGAAAATACACATGCTTCAGAAGACCCAAATATAGTAGCAAAATATTACCTATGTAATAACCTAAACCCCTCTAATGGTATGAAAATCAGAGAGTGATTTGAGATGATTCTACTTGAAACAAGTTCTATATATCTCACTCATTATTATCATAATAATTCAAAGATTATATCATATTAAAAAATGCAGATACGGAAAATATTGAATTTCAGTGAATGGGGCTCAGACCCGTCACGCTCTAGAAAATTACAATCTCTCGATTTCTCAAATAAACATTACCGATACTCTGACTATATTGATGCCTGGCATCGCATACTTACTATCCATAACCAATATAATTCTCACACATGGTTCCTCCAGTTTAAAATGGTAGTGAATGAACCGGTTCCCAATTGGTTCCTAAATTGGTTTACAATTTGGGGATCTCTGTCCCAAATAATGCCAGAAACCTTGCAAGCCTCTCAAGAAAAATTCATTGAATACAATGGGAAAGATCCCAAAATAAATTATCATTTATATTTTCTTGCTTTTTATTAAATGCCATGGATACTTAAATGGTCATTTGCTATATCCGATAATAATATCAATAATTATGAATACATCCCATGTTTGGGAAAACAGATTTATGTGAAGTGGTGGGACATCTTTGTCTACCACAATCTAGACCCAGGACATATTATACTAAAACAAGTCCCAACTAGCTTCAAACCTTCTTCCTATTTTAACCCAAATAATCTGTCTGAGTATATATCACAAATGAGAAAACATAATCCTCAAGCTACCAGAGCCAAACTTGAGAAACAGCTGTATGAGATCTTTTCAGAAGAAGCAGAAACAACTATAGAAACAGATGCCACTGAGGCCCAAGAATAAGATACATCAGCCCATGATATGTCCCAAAAAGCAATCATTATACTAAGCCCATGACCCGATGAAGCATTATACATTATTTCATGTGATATGACACAAGATGCTCAAATATGCCTTTGATATGAATAAAGCTGCTATGACAAGACCAAAGATACAGTTGAAGTGACTCAATAATGCCATTGAAGTGACTTAATATTCCTACCGACATACCCTCTTCATCATTCACCATATACGACAAAATTTCCCTTACCTTTCGACGACCATCCGTGCAGCCACCTGTCAAACCAACCTACCACGTAATGAAAAAAGCCAAAAGCGAATCTTACCGTACTCGCCATGTAAGAAAAGCATCCACCCACTTCTCTCTCCATCGATTGAAACGAATCTTGCCACATGTAGCCATCTATTCAAAATAATTGAAGAATGAATATGATTCAGAAAAACTTGAAGTCCGGAGCTTATATATATGAGACCTCTCCTCATTTAGAAGATCATCGGAAGATTTCAAGAGTTAGCAAACTCAGAAGAATACTCTTCTCCTGTCCTCTTCTTCTTCTCTCCTCTTCTCTTGTAAAAAATTTAGTTTAGAGTGTGATGTGTGATTGTCATTTCAAGGATCTACCAAGATTTTGTCCACCCGAGTGGAAGTCGTTTTGTAGTTTCTGCATTTGTACTCTGTAAGTTTCTTTACTTCTGTACACAGTATGTTGTCACTGTAAGTATGTTGTCACTGTAAGTTTCTTTACTTCTGTACACAGTATGTTGTCACTGTAAGTTTCTTTATATTGTCATTTGTAAGTCTCTTTACTTATGTTATCATTGTATGTTCGTCTGTATGTTATAAACAGTATGTTATAAAGTCTGTATAAAGTTTGAATGAAGCT